ACAACCACAGTCTCAGCATTTGTCGGAGTAGGAAGTCATTGCCTGGTGCACTGGGTCTGCAGCTGCTATTAGTGCTGGAAGGCACTTCTGGTGCACAGAGCAGGGCCCTGCCGTGAATCTGAAGTGTGAGGACACCGTCTGCCATTGCTTCACTTCGAAATCCACACTCGTGTGAAACCAGGGCGGCCTTGGAGAGAACAGAGACAGGAACAGCAGGAAGTCGCCGAGAGTTGTAAGGAAGAGGAAGAAACTGGGCGGGAGAAGGTGCGGTGGCCAAGCCTGAAAACCAGTTCCTCGGTGACCTCTTTTGTCCAGGAGCGCCACCTCCAGTCAACTCCTCTGCCGTCTTCCAGACTCGCTGCTCTGTCTGCCCCCTGCTCTCTCCACCAGTGTGGGGTCTTCGGCATCTGCCCTTATGCAGGAAGTTTTAGAGTCAGCTTTAGTTATTATATGTGAAGCTTTAGTTTTCAGAAATTGAGGGGAGAGCAAGCCAGGCCATTAGCGACCACCGTCAGTCTCTTCCCTAGGAACGGACAGAGTTCTCCCCACCACAGGCCCTGCCTTCCCTTTCCTTCGATCACCTACCTTAGAAATCGTGCAAGGGTAGACTCGCTCTCTGCCCCTTTCAGGTGAAAATCATCTTCTGGCCTCTTGCCGGTTTTACAAACCAGAAATGTCTCTCTTTGAAATGCAGTCCTCGAGGAAAATCAGGGTTCCTGTCTCCCAGTCTCTAAGGGAGGGTGGGAACCTAACTTTAGGATGGACAATCAGCAAACACACTGAGAAGCTCTCCCCGCACCCCGCCCTGGGCTCTTAATGTCCTCCAGTACTTTTCCACTAGCTCCTCCTGCATGCAATACCTCACCCACCTTTAGTTTTGGTGATGTTCCATTTCTCTCCTCCCTCTTGTCTGGCCCCCTATCTTGATAGTCTTGAAGAAAGTCCTTCTTGCCTATTTAACTCATCCGGCTCACTCTTTCTTTTCCATAGCCCAGAGTTCCACACTTGTTTCAAGTTGATTTCCTGAATTATCAAGCCTAAAACATTTCTTTTTTGGATTCATGTCCATATATGTTTGTCCAGATCCATAGAACATGCAATGCCAAGAGTGAACTCAGATGTTAGCTGTGGCCTTCGGGTCCCATTTGGGATAACATTTGGGATGACAAGTCGACGTAGGTTCACAGACTGTAACAAGTGCACCGTTCTGGAGGGGGATGTCGAACATGGGGCTCACTGTGTCTGTGGAAGTGGGAGCGGGGTGTGCAGGGAAGAGATGGAAACTCCGCACTTCCTGCCCAGTTTTGCCGTGAACTTAAAATTGCTCTACAAATAGTGCCCCATTGGGAAAATGTAGTAGGTTGTTGGAGTCCTATATTGCCTTCACCGGATGCCTTGCGGCGCTGTGGAAAGATCGAAGCAGAATCCACTGAACATCTTCCTGCGTATCCAGACCCTGAATACAGTAGATCTATCATCACCTGAATCTTTTGTGGTCATAAACAATGTCATTTATAAGCAAAAGTTGGTCAAAAGTTGAGACACTAAGTGTAGCTCCTGGCTGTGGTTTACGAGCCTTGAAGGTGGACCGAGGAGATCTCGGCGTCTTATGGGAACTTGCTCTAGGTGAGACCCACGTCCCTGCAGCGCTAAGGGGGTCAGGTCAGCTCCCGTTTTGATCAGGAAACATGTGTAAGTGTGAAAACACCTTAGACATAAAGCTAAACATAGACAGGCTTGTTTTCAGTGTATGTGACCACCGTCCTTGCAAAATGATTCCAACTTTAACTATGATTTTTAACATCCATACCATGCAGCGATTTTTAACTTCTTATCATGGAGCCTGTCCTTCCTCATTTCCTGGTTTGATTCTTTCATCAACTCTTTGATTGACATTGTTTTTCCTGCTGTAGCTTCTGCTTTACTACGGTTTTGTTTTCCTGATTTAACTGTTGCGGCATTGACGTCTCCCCTGTGCTGGTCTGTAAGCAGAGAAGTCCAGGTAGACAAGGATCGTTGCCTTCTTAGTGGGCCCTCTGCGGCCTCACAGGCCCCTGGTGATAAAAATAGAGGACTTCCTTTTTTATGTCCTCTTAATTTAATTTGTCTCTAAAAAGGACATATTACTAAATGTTTCCTAAGAGAAAGATTACGCAGAAGAAAACCAGAACTCCGTGAATTATTAAATCCTCAGTGATCATTTTACTTTCATCATTTCACCTTTAAATAAAGGCTCTCACATTTACAAACCACTGAGTGAAGTGAGAACATTGCCTGGCTATTTATAGTGCAAATTGCCTTGAGAGAGGAAGTGAAATCCCCTCTCACATTAAAATGCTCAGAAGCAATTAGCTGTGCTGCGTATCGTTTGATCTGAGGAAGATGATAAGGGAAAACAAGAATTATGCTCGAACTGAGTCAAATTGTGTCCTGAGCAGAAAAAGGTTTATATTCATACCAACAAAAACATTTTTGTGCCACCTCTGGTTTATCCAGTCGTCTGTTGATGGACACAAGTTGGATCATTTCTTAGGTATTGTAAATAATGCCGCAGCGTGAACCACTTGATTTCGAGGCTTTTTAAAAAATTCATAGACTGCATTTTTGAAAGATTCATGAGGAGTGTTGAAAATACTTTTTCTCAAATTCATAATGACATACTGAGAATTCATGATTCAGATGAATTTTCATTTCCTTTTAGGCTAATCACAAAGCAAAACTTCAGTTAATTAGCATGAAATTACCTCTTTTCATTTTCATATTAAATATCTCGACATTTAACCTGTGCGCCATTTTTACACAGCAGACGTTTTTATTTGCAATAGCAACATCCGTGGCGAGACAATCCTGTTAAACTCACTTTGACCACAGAGCTCGGTCCGTGGTGCGAGGTTGCTCACATGGTTTGAGTGCAGGTGAGACCTCATACGGGCTCTCAAAACCCTGCCCGCGCTGCGATACGAAGCTGTCCGCTGCGCACTCAGGTCCTACCCGATTCCCTCCCTGTCCGCCAGCCCGGCCCCCAGTGCTGCGAGAGTGCTTGAATTATTCTGCTTTGTGTCATCCTATTTAATAGCCTTTTTTCTACACACACACACACACACACACACACACACACACAATTCATGTTTAAGTGCAAGTTCTTAGCGATCAGACTGTAGGTCTAAATTTCCTACAGCATGTACATTACAGCCTCAGGCTCTATGAATAAATTACTTCACATAAAGGAACTGTAAATACAGACACAGAACTAACTTTGCTACCACATAAGTGCCAAGTTTTCTAACTTCCTCCTCCACAAAACCCAAAAATACATATGAACACAACAGATATGAACACCTTGAAAGACGTTTTTCTTTGTTTTATTCCTGGTTTGTTCTCTTGCCAATGAGAAAATATAAACTGTGAAGATGCAGAAAACACCAATACGCCCAAGATACAGCTCACTCAACCAGACCTACAGGGAAACACAGTGTCAGGCGGTAACACGTCCTAAGTCCGAGTGTATTCACCGTATCCCTGTGGCACTCCAGGCACTACCCTCAGGTGAGGACACTGTGGGGAGCGTTCACACACCCTCCTGCAGGAGACCCCGTTCCCAGGGGCGTGCCACACAATCAGAAAGAGTCCCACGAGCTCATAGCTGCCCCACGGGGAAGAGAATGGTTGGTGGACACACTCAGCACGTCCCCTTTTCGGAGGTGGTTTTCCAGAAGACAGCTCATGTCTTCCAAGTCTTAGAGCTTTGATGGACACAGCTAGAGTTCTGTATGCAATTGATTTAAGGTGTTATCAGCTTAAAATAGATTCATAAGTAAAAGATATTTTAGGTAAACCCAAAGGTAACCACAAAAAATGTACAAAATTTATACAAATGAAAACCACCGGATATCACCAGACAACTTTTAGGATGGCTAATATTGAAGAAGAGGAAGGAGGAGGAGGAGGAAGAGGAAGAGGAGGAGGAGAACGAGAAAACATTGTTGACAAGGATGTGGGGAAATTGGGACCTGGTGTGCTATCGGGGGAGTGCAATTGGCACAACTTCTATGAAAAACAGTACGGAGTTTCCCCAAGAAATTGAAAATAGAATGTCCATATGTTTCAACAATCCCACTTCTGGTTATTTATCCAAAATAATTGAAATCACAGTCTCAAAGAGATATTAGAGATATTCATTGAAACACTATTCCCATTAGCCAAGACATGGAAACCATCTAAATGTCCATCAATAAACAAATGGGTAGAGAAAATGTTGTATATCCATACAATGCAATATTATTCAACCATAAAAAATAAGGAAATACTACAACATATAACGATATGAATGAATCTTAAGGACATTATGTTAGGTGAAATAAGCTAATCACGGAAAGACGAATACCATTCTCTCGTACATATTAATGTATGATATACCTAAATAGTCAAATTAGTGGAATCCATAATGGTTGCCGTGGGCTTGAGGGTGTGAGGTCATGGGAGTTACTCATCAACAGCCACAAAGTCTCAGCCACCCAAGATGAATGGACTCTAGATGCCCGCAGAGTAGCAGTAGACCTGTGGGCAACAAGAACACATTACCCATGAAAAAATTCGTGGAGGATGGATATCCTGTTACGTGTTCTGTCCACAATAAAAGTAAAAACCCAATTGTGGTGGTGGGTGCACAAATATATCCATTTGCTAAAAATCATCAAACTGTTCATTTTTAGTGAGCAAATTTTATGTGTGTAAATTATACTTCAGTAGAGCCGATTTTTAATAAATGGGGAAATGGAGCCATTTGACGCTACTGCAGTAGTCCAAAGAAGAAAGAGTAGAGTTTAACTGCTATAGGGATGGGCGATATGAAAGAGGGTGAACAGACTTAAAATATAATTTGAAAGAAAAATCTATAGGACTGGCAATGAAATGAGGGTGTGAAATGGAGGAGAAGGAAGAACCAAGGTTGACTCTCAGATTTCTGATTAGCAATTTATTGGACAGAGATGTCACTTACTGAAGGGGAAAGATTGGAAAACAGATTAACAACATATAAATTCCGTTCCAGGAACAGTTCATTGCAGCGGAATTAACTAAGCAGTCTTGTATTTGAACATATGGTTGAATGACATTCACCTACACTGGGGGAAAAAACACTCCTGGAGCTCCTGATGAGACAGCACTTTGTCATGGGTGGCTGTGTCACCCCAGTCCCAAAGCAGCAGTGTCTCAGAATTAGACAGTGGGTGATGAAGGCACGGTGTCTGACCTTTTGGCGTCTCTGGGCCACGCTGGAAGAAGAGTTGTCTTGGGCCACACATTAAATGCACAAACACTAAAGAAAACAAAAAAGCCCCATAATGTTTCAAGTAAACTCATGCTTTTGTGTTGGGCCGCATTCAAAGCCAACCAGAGCCACACCCGGCCCTGGGGCTGCGAGTTGGGCACCCCTAGTACTTGGGTCTGGTTGAAGAGCATCGCAGAGAGGAGGGCGAGGCTCATGGGGCAAGTGAATGCTTCCTTCGGATGCTCTTTGCTCTCCTGGCATCGCCCTGCCGGCATTCTGAAAACGAGCAGGAAATAGCTTGGTGGGCCCCATGCCAGCCTCAGGGGACAGGAGTGCAGGAGGGGCTGTTTCAGGCTGTCCGAGTCACAGATGTCAGCGGGGGCCCAGGTGCACATGGACAGGTCTGGCCCTTAGGTTCCCTTCACCCTCTTTCCCCCCTCACTGTGGGACAGGTGCGGCAGCCCAGGGAGCGGAGCTTACTAGCAACATCAGAAGCCAGAAGACAATCAACCATACTGTAAACATTCCAAGGGGAAATGAGTTAACATACAGCATTAAATGCCAAGAAATCTATCAGTCAAGTGTCAAATGAAATAAGATATTTTCGACCATGAAATCTATCCATCAGGTGTGAAAAGAAATAAGATCTTTTCAGCCGAGCAAGGTCTCGCAACCCTCTCTTCCACTGCTGCTCTGTCAAAAAGCCACCGGAAGATGCACCCTGCAAAAAAATAAGGGAGCAAACCAGAAAAGATACAGCAAACCAATAATAGCTACACCAGGAAAAATATATATACATACATGAATCTTTGAAAAGGTTGGTTTAAAATGTTACAAAGACAAAATGCACCAGGCCTCGACTAGAGTCAATCCCAAATTAAGTTAAGAAAAGATGCGTTTTTAACTAGTGGCCTCTCTGATGTGCTTGACACCACGGGACAGGGTTCTCCGTGTCCGGTCAGTGGTCAGGGAGAGGGTGACGTGGTTAGCGAGGGAGCGCAGTCCTCAAGCACGACCACGATGCACAAAGCAGCAGAGATGACCACAGCATTCAGTGCGGCTCCTTTAAAAAAACATAACCACATTGTGAGACAAAAGCAGGGGAAGGGGGAGAGAGAAAGGAGCATGTTTTATAAAGCTGAGCCTTTCTCCTCCATCACAGAAAGTCACAGATAATGCCTAAATTTACATGTATAAAAATGCATGTTAAAAAAATGCATACACACATATATACATTTAAAATTTGGCAATATGGAAAGAATTAATGGAAGAAATCGCAAAACAGGTTTGCGTTTCTTGCTCTTGGAAAGAAAATGGAAATATGGGGTGTGGGGTGTGGGCCTTTTTAATGCATCGTCTTACAGCATATTCTGGTCTTTTCCGTATATACGGAAACTTGCAAAACAAAAATTTTAATCATAAATGATAACCACTCCCCTCAGGACTGATGTATCAGGTAGCCACAAATAAGATAAGTTATTAAAAAAAACTCATTGACATGAAAATGCATTTGTATTGGTTGGTATGCCTCGAGAGGGTGGGGGAGAAGTAGGTTTTACAGCTGTGGGTATGGAAAAGGATACAATAATTAATAACAATGAAGAACAAACTGCTTCACATACTGACATCTGTAAACCTACTTTTGCCCCGCCCTCTGTAGGCCTTTATATGTTTCCACATATTACATGTGTGTTTGTGCATGATTGTGCACAGATGTGCACAGATGCACGTTTCTGATGCTCACCTTCGGTCCCAGAAATTGTAATAATGGCAAAGAGGGCACCAGTACCGTCCAAAGAAATACTGTCATAAATATTGTGTTTTCTAAGACTTCTGTGAAATCTTAGAAGTCAACTATAAAAATATAACTAGAGCCCTGGCTGGTGTGGCTCAGGTGCTTGGAGTGTCGTCCTGTAGACTGAAAGCTCACAGGTTTGATTCCTGGTCAGGGCACCTGCCCAGTTGCAGGTAAAACTGGTTTTGTTATATGTCGTCTGGTTGAAAGTTGCATTGAGAACTTATCAGCAACATTGAGAAAGCGTGCCTTTCCTTCAGCAGGTGCCAGTAAAAGACAAAGGTGTAAATTGTATATGTGGTAACCCATTTTGGATATGAGCTACAGACTATATGTCATGCATGCACAGGATAGGTATGTATATATATGTATATACACGCACCTGTATGTATGATGTATGTGCACTAATAGATATGCTCACATAATGTCCGTTCACTAAGAAATAACTCCTCTGCATTTTTAGAAAGACAGAGAGAGCCTCATTGGTCAACCTGGGCAACAAACCCCAGACTTCTTTTCAACACACAATCCTCTTTGTATCACAAGGTGTCAGCTTTGAGAATTTCACTGTGGTTCCAAATGTTTACTTCTGAGTCACGGGATTAAACTGCAGGTTTATCTGGTGTCTGCCCCTCTCCTACCCAGACTCCTGGGCCCAGCGGCTTGAAGTCCAGGGCCAGGGGACCTCGGGACACTTGGAGACGGCAAGCGGGGGGGGGGGGGAACGCTTGGCTCGATCTCACCCTTCCTTCCCGCACCCCACGCGGGCAGCTGCCCAATTCTCACCGAGCGGATCGAGCAGCTGCCCGGTTTGATGTGGCTTCAGGGCGTTTGTGCCTCTGACCGCCGCTGAGTGGCTGTTTTATTGCTTTCTTGCAGCAGCGCCCCCGACCCCCGTAAATCACAACTTCTGTCCCTATGGCAACCACTTATGCCCGAAATGCCAGTGCCTCTCTCCGCCGATGGAAAAATGGTTGGACGGGAGAAAAAGTACACCCGGCTTGCGGCCCTTTCTCCACCCCTATGGCCGCCTGCTGCCCCGAGCTGCCGTCTTCCAGTAGGAAGCCACGAGCTGCACTCGGAATCTGTGGGCCAAGCACGCCGTCCTCCCAGCAGGGGCAAATAAGAGACAAATGTGTCCATTGCGCATGGGGTTACCCGTTTCTGGTGTGAGCTACAGCCGGTCGTCACGCATGCGCGGGAGAGGGGCCGCTGCTGCTCCTTCTGGTCCAAACGACTTCCTCGCGCCCCGCTTGTCAAAGCGTCCCCTCCTTTTCCAGGTCCCCCTCCACCCACCGGGTCGGTATGTTGCAGAGCGGGACCCTCGAGGGGCGTCCCTGGGGGGCGTGTATCTGAGTCAGGACCAGGGATTGGAGGGCAACGGCCCACATCCTAAACAGATTTCCCTTCGATTCTTAAGAAAGCTAACATTTGAGAACCACTACAGCAGACGATCCTTGGAGAAAGGACCCCGTGTGACTCACCTTTGTATTCCGGGCGTCTTTCCTGTGCCCGTCAGGCCGAGAGCAGGGTCTGGCCCGCTCTCGGGAACCGGCCTGCCGCAGGTCACCCCCAAACTGCCCGAGAGTCCGCTGGCCTCTGCCCTCTCCAGGAGCCCACTGACCATGGTCAGGGAGGGTTCGGGTGCCAGCAAGGGCAGGTGGGATGTTTCTCAGGCTGCTTTTGTTTGTAACGGTAGACTCCAAAGGAACTGGTGCTTGCTGATTTGTTGAGGATAGCCACTTTGACAGGTTTTTTATGTGTGGAGTCTAAAGAACAGAATGGACAAAATAGATACAGACTCAGATAACAGAGAACGGACTGATGGTCGACAGAGGGGGTGTGTGTGTGTAGGGGCCAGATAAAAAAGGGGGAAAGGATTAAGAGTGAAAAATTGGCAGGTAAAATACAGCTGCGGGGATGTAAAGAGCAGCATAGGGAACATAGTCAGTAACAGTGTAACGACTAGGCGTGGGGCCAGGTGGGCACTGGAAATACCGAGGGGACCACTCTAGAAAGTACATGATGGTCCGGCCACTGCGGTATATGTCTCAAACTCACACAGAATACTGCTGAATGTAAACTGTGACATGTGACGGCTGTTGGAGGTGGTCACAAGAATGTGATCACAGGTGGACCCGGGGTTGGGAACTGGGACTCCTCCCCCGGCCCCAGCCCTGTCCTTGGAAAGTGTGCTCTGCTCCCTTCCTCCCCCCGGAGGCCGCCTCGAGGGCACGGCCCTGAGCAAGTGTGCGGTGGAGCCCGCGGGGGGCACACGTGACTGCACCCTCCACGGCTTCCGTATAAACTGTTAAGACTGCGCGGGCAGGGGTGGAGACCTGCCCATCTTTGCTGCCCTCCGATCTGGGGGGGTCTGCCTCTCTCTGGGGCATCTCCTTTCCATCCGTGCACGGGGACCAGTTTGCAAACCGACAGCTGGTGTTTGAGCCAAGAGCATGTATTTGGGAGCCCGTAGACTGTATCCTAAAACTCTAACACGGGACCTCAAGAGAGGCATTCTCTCCACGTCCCCTGGGCCTTGGATGAGCTCAGGTGGCGGCTGAGAAGACCGTTGGGAGGTGCCGTAAAAGGAGACTCTGCGAGGCTGTGCCGAGAGCAGTGGAGCTATTTGCCAAGAGGCCCGGATCTCTGCCCGTTCCCGCCTCTCCCTAAATGTGACCACCCTCCCTTCCCAGACCCTGCCCACAGCTTTGCAGGGGAGAAGCAGAGTCTGGAAGATAAGACCCGAGCTCCCACTGAGTGGGACAGGTCCCTGTCCTCAAAGAGAGGAATCAAGAGATCCCAAATATTGGGCCTGGATGCTTGAAAATATCTCAGTGCATTCCCTATTAAAGATGCTGCTGATAGGATCCCATAAAAAATGGGAGAGGATTCTATTTTTCCCTTATAACTTCAATATGTTTTTCAGCATGGAAACATAGAGCTCTCAGAGAATAGGATAAAACTAAAAAGATTCTCGTTAGCGCATTGTTTTTGGAGAGCACATTAAGAACTGGAGCAACATTGCTCTGCGTCTGTTAATACGCGAGAGCGGGGGGAGTGGGGAGAAAGAAGGGAGTGGGGAGAGGGAGAGAAGAAAGAGAAGGGAGAGACAGGGTATTTTCAATGCGCAGAGAGGTCTCGGGGATTCTAGGATGTCAAGCTGGAAGATCACTAGGATTCCTTTCTTAGGATGGATTTCGTATGATGGCTCTCTAGAGAGAAAAAAGGGTAAAAGATATTTGGGGCCTACCAGTAAACACTTGGATGCCAGAATTAGGAGTTTTGAAAGACCAACAATTAATCAAAAGACCTGGCACAGTCCCTGGGAGACTGAAGGAAACATGAGAGAACTGAAGAAAAAAAAAAAAGGGCAGAGAACACAGCATCCAATGCTGGGCTGGGACAACATTCCCGGAGGAGGATGACCCACAGGGGCAGAGCGGTAGGAATCCGAGGGGGGCTCCTGCGAGGGCTGCTGGGAAGGCAGTGCGTGCAGTGGGAGTGGCCCCGGGTCAGGGCTCCACATAGAAGGAACCAGGCTGTTGGGGACGGGGACCGATGAGCCACCAGCTGTGCCACCAGCACTGCAGGAAGGTGCTTTGAGCTGAGAAATTTTAGGAAGCTCTCTATTGACTCACTTCCTAGTGTTTATGACTTGGAACGTTTGCACCCTCTGGTTTACCTCCCAACAGCCCAACCCCATCATACTCCACCGTGAAAGTCAAGTTTTTAATTTAGTGGAGCTTTGCTTTGCAATACTTTTCTGCATTGGCTTTGGTTGGCTTTGGTGACGGGGAGTGCACCGTGTTTATGGCCAGAGAGTACGTGTTGATGATTTTGGTACCCGAGTCCCGTGCAGACAAACCCAGGCAAAATTGGAATATAAGTGAAATTTGTTTTCACTGATACTGTGCTCATTACCGCCACCCACTCCCTCACAGTCAGTGATAAAAACAATATGTCTGATGTCACACCTCCGAAAACAAAAATATATCCCTTCAGTGCAATAGACGGTGGTACTCTTTCACCATTTCCCCTTGTTTGCCACTGTCTTTGAAACAGAATAGATGAGCTCTATTTGCACATTTCTTGAATTTGCTTTGTCATGTAAAATTATTGTGCTTTTTTTTTCTCATTGTCGTTGCCTGTGGCCTTGAGGAACAGATGTTTCTTCCCAGCGTCTGCCAGCCCTAGTCCTGAAGCGTTGTTAACTCAGAGGGACAGGGTTTTGTCTAGCAGCTTAGGCTGCCGCACAGAATAGCCCGTGGGGCATGCACGCACCTGCGGGTCACGCACACACTCCCACTCGCATTTACAAACCGCAGGTGTGAAGCTATAAATACGTCTGACTCACCCCCTAGGAGAAGCGCAGCTGTAAGAAAAGGTGGAAGTTGTCTTCTTCCTAACAATCCCATGTTCAAAACAACTTGTTGAAATGACGGCTTCAGCTTTGGGCACGATCTTCATCAAGGACAGTGAGATGAGGTGGTTCAGGGGAGTTCGTGTCGTGTGTGTCCGGGACTGATGCTCTACATTTCGTCTTCATAATTCTGCACCTGGATCTTCCACGGGTCGCGGGCCTTTGCTGACCCAGCCAGCCGCCTGCTGGCCTGGTAACGTTAGGGAAGTGTGGGGTTAAGTCCCAGATTTTTCCTGAAGGATAGACTTGAATGGCCATTATTTTGGGAGAAGACACTAAAATATTTTCCTTCCATGTACCGTTCTATACATTCCTATATGTATGTGGACACGGGCTACCACGGCCTGGCTAATTCCGCAGCTTATGCTCTCAACTCAAACGCAGCAGCATGCTTCACGCAGTTATTTTAAAACACAATATTACTCAAAGATAAGAAACCGTTTTTCCTGTAAATACTTAACGATCTAACAACATTTTAGGCGCCACTATAAACAAATGGATATGCCTGCACTTTCATTTCAGAAAATATCTTCCTGGACATTCAAGTCCCACCAATCAGGAATTAAAATATCAGAAAGGACTTCAGGCTACTGACAAACTTGAAAAGTGTGTGCCCATTCTTCCTCTCAGTGTATTTATTGCAGTGCGTAACAACACTGGGGCCTGTGCTCTCAATGGGTAATGCCTCTGTTTATGCTGCATTTAGAGATGAAAGTTTCTGTCCGGAAGGAGGTTCCAATTCCCAGCCTCCCGTGCACCGTGGGAGGGCCGAACAGCTGGGCCACACCGTGCACTGGGAGTGGAGAAGCTATATCCCGCTTTCAAGCCTGATCTGTGTCAACCTCTTATGTGATCCCCGGTGGTCTCTTTTCTCCCGGCTGTCAGCTGGATCATGGGCCCTGGTGACGCCGGAACGTCCCAGGTTGCAGACGCACCTCCCCATCGCCGGGATCCCCGAGTGACTGGACTTTCCATGAGCAAGAAATAGATATCCAGGCAGCCCCTTCCTTTGTCCACAAATGTTTAAGCCAAAGCCCTGGGAACATTTTGCGTCTAATATATATTTGTTCATCTTTCGAGGGTCCAATTACATTTGAAGTGTGTTTCATAAGAAAATTCACATGCGTGGTACAAAGATAGGAGAGTTAACCTCAAGATACTCGACAAATCCTTAGGGTACTTACTTCCTGTGTTGCAAACAGGGGAATATTCCATTAATGCAGTTCTCTGCACTAATGGATCCCCAAACTCTTTTTAACAAAAGCTTGGGGAGCTGGGGTTGTGAGTGAGACAGTTCTTCAGTCATTTGGGAGATTGTTAAATCAAAATTACCAAGAGCTATTAGCCAGGGCCGTTCTTACTCTGGATAGCAAGGTAGTTTCTAAGTATGTTGTCATTGTGTAGAAAACAGATGTTAATAGGGGGTGGCGAACCCTGGGCTGTGGCACACACACAGACCTCTCTGCCATCATACATTTTTAAATTTAATTTTAATTTTACTTTATTGATTTTGAGAGAGAGAGAGAAACATCAGTTTGATGTTCCACTTTTTTAAGTGTTCATTGGTTGATTCTTGTATGTGCCCTGACCTGGGATCGAACCTGCAAACTTGGCGTATCAGGACAATGCTCTAACCAACTGAGCTACCTGGCCAGGGCAACCTTCATACATTTCTATCTACAGCCACCACAAAAAGGCACCATGCTTCATCATCTTATAGTTGTTTTGAACAATTGTTAAGATATTAACTACTAGGGATGAATAATGTCGTGTCCATAAGTAACAACATGTGATTTAAAATAACCCCATTGAACTAGTATAGAGAATTGATTAAGAGCATGAGCCTTGGGTTTGAAGAATGTCACTGCTACTTACCACGGGACCTCGGCTGAGTTATTTCATCTGTTGGAGCCTCAGATTTATTTTGCTGCAAACAAAAATAACTTAATCATAGTATCGCTGTGGTGTTTCAGTTGCTTAGTTAGGTGCGGTAACAATGTTGCCAGAGACTGATTGCTTCTCAATGAAGGCTACTTTTAATTGCATCATGTCATAATTGGACTTGTGTCTTGAGAACCTTACAAGGGATTCTATTGAAACTCAGCCACCTGCCTTCACAGCGTTCTTCAGTTAGATGCGCCTGTCGTTCTCCCCAGCTGATGGTCAGCAGACGGGTGCCATGCCTATTCAACACCAACAGGCACCCCCCCCGACTTGGGGTATGGTGAAGAAGGAAACTTTTTCATGCAAACAGCTCGTCCTTGCTACAGTGTGGCTGAGAGTGCTGCTGCCAGTATTACAGTTCAATGACGAAGCGCGTGGCTGCGCGGAGGACTAGGGGACAGGCTTGTCCTAGGTGAGTCCCCTGGCTGGACAGCACCGCTCCCATCGGCTCTGCTCCACTCTGCCCTGCGCTGCTTTGCTTCGCTGTGTTCCAGTGAGATGCGTCTGGTGTTTCAGCTCCAGCCAGGGAGACGCGGTCTTCTGCCTTTGGTGGAAAGGGAAAGTGCGCCCCCCAAGCCAGAGGCGGGCTGACGTAGAGTCCGAGGACCCCTCTCCTGGTTCCTGATTGGCTCCTCTTTATGCAAATAAAGAGTCTAAATCCTCGCAGTTTGATTGGTCCAATGGCCCTGGTCAGAATGGATCTGCCTGGAGCGGTCTGTGAAGGTGCTGATGGGAGGCGAGCTGCGCAGCAGCTCCGGTGGGATGGGGACAGCCCCAGGCCCTTTGGTTGACCAGGACTCCGGGGACTCCTTTGTGGGGGCTGGCTCCGGTGGTGGCTCCCTGTGGCCAGAACCCAGTGCAGGCAGGCAGGCCGGCAGGCCGGCAGGCCGGCCAGTGCAGGCTTCTCCCTGCAGGGCAGTTTGTGCGAGAGGCCCCAGCGTGGAAGAGGCTGCTAGGCTCCGTTTCTGAAATGTCAGCCCGCCTAGCCACCAGGAGCCCCTCTTAGCAGGTGCCCTCTTTCTCAGGGCCCACGATATGCAATCCTCAACCTGGAGGCTGGAGAAGCTGGAGTTCCCCTAGTGTCTTGGACAGACACAGCCGTTCACTCAGCTTTTCTAAAATTAGCCTTTCGTTTTGAAGTGCCCTGTTTCTACTACAATCGTGGAAGGGCCCCGTGGTCTGGCAGACTTCCTGCTCTCGATGAAAGCAAAAAAAAAAAAAAAAAAGTCTCCCTGGAGCACTTTCATTTCCTTCCCCTCCCCCACCCCCACCTTGGCCTGAGGAGCGGTAGGGCTCATGGAAGAGTGGGGGGAGGAGGGGAGAGATGAAAGGGGTGTTGAAGAAGGAGCCCCCTCCTCCCTCGGACTCGATCTCCATTGATCCCCCAAGTTGCCCTCTCTCCTTTCGAGGGGCCTCTTTGGTGTTGCCGTTTTAACTTCAAAGTTTGGGATTGCTGCTTTCTGACACGCATGGCTTTAAATAGACGGCCTCCTAGAACCCACTATTTATTCCAGACTTCCAAACCAGTGCCTCTTGTTTTGCTGAACTTAAAAGATACGTAAAAATGATCCATACTCTTAGAAAAACTCTAAAAACACGGGAAGTCAAGAGAGTGAATTTCCGTAACCACCCCGTTGGGCACTTCTGTCCGGCTTCTTTCTCCCTTCCTTGGCTGGAGCGCGAAAGGAAAAGGAACGCTTGTTGCGCTGCCCGAATGTGCTGGGCACGGGGGAGCCTCACGACATTCCCTTGAGGTCGATGTTAGTCCTACCCCCCTTGTATGTACGTGGCTGTTGAGCGCTCAGAGGTTACCGCGGACAAGCCAGGCAGGAGAGAGGTTTTGCGCGCGCCTCCCGCTGACACCCCTCCGGGGGCCCTGCTGCGTCTCCCAGATGCTATTATCCCCGACACCTGCATCCGGCGACATTTCCTCCCTTCATGTTGACTCACCCTTTGATGAGTTTTCAAATGTCTCCTTTGCCACCAGAGCAGATGACAAGTTTGACAAAGCGACTCACCCCCGGCGGCGGCGGCGGCGGTGTCGGCTTCGGTGCAGGTGACCCCCTCTGAACCGCAGCCCGGGACGCTTTCTGAAGCTGATGGCCCCAGGGGGCGGCGCCGCGCCCCCACCGCACGGGCCCTGCCGCCCTCTTTCGTCCCGGGAGGCGCCAAAGCAAAGCCTTGAGTCCTGTGGGGAAAGAGAGATTCTAAAAATACCTTCTGCAACGAGAAGGCGAGGTGCGGGTCAGGTGGTGCCGAAACGGACTGCTGAACGTGATGTTACGAGTGTCAGGCTTTTAGAGTGATGGGATGCAGATCCGAAGCTGGCCAGAGAGAACCGGATTTACCGGGCCCTGGGAGTTAGCAGGATGATACGCTCGAAGGGATTGGCTTTTGGACAGTGATGGATACTTCAGCTTCCGAAGTCGTTAGCCGGAAGTTCCCACGGATATGTTTAATGCAAAAGAGCCCTTGTGCTCCCGCTTGTCAGAAAAGGGGGGGCAAACAGCAGAGGGGGCGTGGTTTGAGGCGGCTCCGGGATAATTACACAAAAGCACCAGAGCTTGCAGTGCGTGGCTGCGGAGTTGCTTGAAGACTTTCGAAGACATTGAATTCTTTCATTCTTCTGTGTATAAGTACCCTCACCAGAAAAATACCAAATAGCATAAAAAACATAAAGAAGAAAGTAAAACTCCCCTGAAACGCACGACAAAGGTGTAGCTAACCCATTGTTCACATTTTGACGTATCTCCATGCAAGTGTTGTCTCTGGGACATTCCAATTCCTCCTTTGTCTGCGACGTACTCCTTCACCGATACAGTCAAGAGACATTTGTTTGGAAGTTGTTAGGTGCAGGTACTGTGCCGGGTCCTAGAAACACGGCCACCTCGTCACGGGCTGGGGAGGCAGACCGTGGACAAATGCAGATGAGAGTAGGCGGCTAGGACAGCAGTGTCTCTGCTCACCTTTGTATCCTCGTCGTCTCAGGGTGCTGGGGGGGCGGGAAGAAGGTGCTGAACAAATATCTGTTGACTGAATGAGGTACCTGCTCATCAGTGGGTGAGTCAAATGTGTCACGTACAGGAGAAGCAGCTCGCAGAAGCACCAAGGAGAAGCACATGAATACGGCCAGTAGAAGTTTCCAGAGCTTATGTCCAAACCACAGGCTGTGGCGCCAGGACTAACTAATACGGCAGCTGGAACAGCACGTCCCAAAGGCAGGTAGCAAAGACCACGGTACGCTGAGGGAAAGCAACCATCAGAGGGACCGGATCGTGGAGGTAGTGCAGAAATAGGGC